CAATAATTGTATTTATTCAATATTTCTCACACATGGTCACATTGTATTTTTCCCCATTTTATCGTGATTTCTATTTACAATTCCACTATATAATTTTACTAAAAAACCAATACTTATTTAAAGAACACTATGGAGATTGATCAGAATAACGAAACTTGGGTTTTTTTACCTTCCAGCACATAACTACTTGGTATTTTATTCTGTTCTGATAACTTTAATTAGCTCTTTACAACTATAATATTTTAGTAAAGTTTTTTTTTTTTAACAAATGATGTTATCTAGAATGCTATTGGAATCGGTCAAACTGAAGATATTTGTATTTCTTCAACATCTCTAATACATAACCGCCATATTGTATTTTCTCCGTTCTATTGTGACTTGCTATTTACTATTATAGCATATGATTTTTACTAAAAAATTTTTTCTTCATTATTAAATTTAAAGAATGCTGTTGAGGTTAACCAATATAATAATATTTGGGTCTCTTCGATGTATCTGACATATAGTTATACGGTATTTTTTGTTCTAATAGAATAATTTTGATCGATCTTTTTTTTATAAGCATTATGATTTTGCTAAAAGAAAAAATATTAATAAATCAACTAGAATAATAGTATTGGCACTTTCCCAATATTTCAAGTATATGATTATATAATATTTTATTCCACTTTAATATTATATTTTGAATCACTCTTTTTTTTAATAAAGCTATAATTTTTATTCAATCTTAACTAGCAGGGTAACTTTAGTGCCTCACTGGTGTTTCTGCAGTATCATAACATAATATATGTTTACTCTAATTTTTGATATTCTTTTATATATATCTGTATAGGTTTATTTTATTTTTGATATTTAGAACTTTGATATGCCTTTATCTATAGCTGATGATATGTAAAACGATAATAAACTAGAGAATGCTAATTATATATTAAATGATTGTGAATTAGAAGATACTGATGATATGTTAAATGATTGTGAATCAGAAGATGCTAATGATATTTTAAATAATCGTAAACTAGAAGATGCTGATGATATGTTAAACAATAGTAAACTGGAAGTTACTGATGATCTGTCAAATTCTTTAGAACTATGACTGGACTTACTTTTTAAATATGGGAAGAATTTAAATATTGGGTTCACAGATTTGCATTGAAGAAAGGCTTTGACTACAAAATTAGAAATAGTGAAGCAGATTAGGGTATAATACGAAGGGCTCTATATATATGTACTAGATCTAGTATCCATGATCTACAAATATTGACTGATCTAACAAAACATCATAAGGCTTATTCTCAAAAAATAAAATACTTTTGGAAAGTAAATATTACCTATTCAAAAAAAATTGATAAGATCAGAATTAATTCATTTGATAATAAATAGAAATCACGATAAAATGGGGAAAAATACAATGTGACCATGTGTGAGAAATATTGAATAAATACAATTATTG